TCCTGCTGCTAGATCATTCGGGTGCATTATAGCTCCGCGACATACCTATAAGCGGGGGAAAGAAGGCTGGTCGTTTTCCACCACCGAGATTTCTCCCACGGGTATAACTTTGGTGAGCGAAACGGCTCCGCGGATTATCTGAGGAAGTGCGAAGAGGCTTTTAACTCGGTATAATTTATTTAAAAGCCGAGACCGGGAAGGGATGAGAGGGGAATCTCCGAAGAAACAGCCTTAATTAGCAGAGACTTTCTTACCACTGGCAGATTCCTCCTTAATTTTCGCAGATGAAAACCGCGCGATCCACTTCTCTGTGCTTTTTCTCTTCCTTGACCTTCCGTTTTTCCTTTTTCCTTCCTCTTTCTTCTTTCCTCTTTGCGATCTCGCTTCGTCCTTCGAAATACCTTTATTCTACTCAAGCGCGTTTGACAATTTGCAATAAAGAGAAGTCCTTTCGATATTGATTAAATTCTGCAATTAAGAGGAACGATATTTAATCGAACGTGAGGTAGATAGTTCAAGTGTAATATGATTTTGCTTGAAAATCACGAATTTTGCATAAAACTTGTCTCGCACTCATCGCGCCATGTAATATACAGAATCGATTTTATCTCGGTGAAGATTTGATGGAAATTCTAATTAGGAAAATATTCGACATTGAAGATGGAAGAATTTTCGCAAGTTAAAATTTAAAAGGCAAAAAAAGTGAGAGAGCTTGCTTTGTGATTAATTTCTAGATTTTACTTTGACAGAAATTTCATTTGATTCTACTATATACAAAAATATATGATAATTAAAAATTAATAGGTTGTAGCCCTTCTTGTCAATTGTAAGCCCGATTATACAGAGCAAATAATATTTAATGTTTTATAAATTAAATACTCTGTTGTCGCTGGAATCCACTGATGTCACTCTTCGGAACAGAGTATCCACGGGATGAATCGCAAAATTTTTCTCTGCAAAATGGCTAAATGTGACGTCCGCGCTCACGTCTGACGACAGCTATTCTTCCTAACAAAGTCAATTGACGGCGCTGCCGTAATGTGCCGCCTACTTTGGAAAATTTACTTTGAATTTTGTTCCCTTTTACGAGCTCTTCCTTTCTACTTTCCACGGGACATTACTTCGTTCCCACGCCCTGGTGCTGGTGCCCTCGCGAATTACCTCGTCAGGAATTCAACCCTCATACACAGCCATTTCGCAAATTCGATCTCCCTCGCGGCTACCCCTGCTCTGTCGAGCTACTCGACAGAGAGAAGGGGAAAGAGAGAAAGCAAGTCAGCCAGTGATGTAATATTAAATTAAACCGACTCGCAGTACATAAAACCGCGTATGCTATCTGACGCTATAGTGTTGAAGGCTTGATGTGATTAAAAAGAGATTATGTATGCTATAAAAATACAAATTTCGAAATATATATAATATTTGAATTATATATTTATATCTGATAGATATTTAATATTTTGAAAATATTCAGGAAAATAATATTCTTTGATTTTTGTAATTCAAATAATCTATTTTACTTGTTTGCTAATTTATTCAATATGATAAAGATCTCTTTTGACGAAGAATATCAAAGTTAAAATTGAAGAGATAGAATTATATCTGCGCGTTTATTATTAGATTACTTGCATTGACGAAAAGAGATAGCGAGCCGTTCAGTCAAGCAAAAATTTTCCCAGGATACTTCCTTTTGTTTTAAAAAACGACAAACGCGAATCTGACCTGACCCAATCCGATTTCAGTCTACTCGAAGGACTACCGTGCAGACGTAAGACTTGTTGGCTACAACAGAATAAAAAGAGCATGGAGCATTGAGAGATGTGAAAGGTAAAAGAGAGAGAGGGAGAGAGAGAGACAGGGAGAGAGAAAGAGAGAG